GGTGCCAGCCCCGCTGCAGGGTGTGTGGTCGCTGCTGTGTAGCTCCCATAGGCTTTCCACCATCGCTTCTTGCAGCGAGGAGCCACTGGGACAGCATGGAGAGCTGCAGCACTCTGACCCTGCTGCTCTGTGTGGGCAAAGGGGAGGCTGGGCTGTGTCCACACCACCTCCTACCTGCTGTACCAGTAGTAGAAGTGGTGCGTCCTGTTCACTGCCTCCTCCTCCTCCTCATCCCAGAAGCAGGTGAGGTCCTCAAAGGAGCGGGAGAAGCAGAGGATGTCCTCCGGCACTCCTGCCAGCAGTGCAGCATCTGGGAGGAGTGTGGATGTGAAGGAGCTCCTGGGAACAAACCTGTCCCCGTCCCACCTGTGCCCCCCCACCCCGTGCCTGCTGGCTGCCTTGCATCGGAGGCCAGGCTGTGTAGGCACCTGGGGCAATGTGGGCATGGCCGTGGACATGGCTGTGGCACAGGTACCCTCCGCCAGCTTGGCACGGCAGAGAGGGACGCGGCACATGTCCTGGCTGCTGGCTCACACTGGGGTGCTGGCAGGCAGCAGAGCTCCCCGTTGGCTGGCCCCACTGCTCCCCCTTCTCAGCGCACAGGGTCCTTCGGGACAAACAAACATTCCGAAATAGCCCTGCGGTGGGAGGGGGGCTTGGGGCCCGGTGATCAAGGGGAAGCACCCCTGCCCTGCTCACGCCGGAAGGCGCGAGGAAGTGAGATAAGGAGGAGCAGTGCCCCGGGGAGGGGGAAAGGGCCTGGGGGCTGGCGTGGAGGCATGTGCTTCTGAGCATGGGGGGATGCACAAACCTTGGCCCAGGGACTGCTTGGGGGGCTGTGGGTTTCTTTGCCCCACTTAGCAAGCTGCCCTTCCTGTCATTGTGGGGATAACTGGGATGAACTAGAGCATCACACACTGCAGGATCTCCATCCCAAGCACCGGTGGCTTTGCTGGCACATGGTGGCTTGTCCCGGTTGGCAGGGAAGAGGGGACAGCCCCATGATGCAGATGTGTGAAGCATTGCTCCACCACTCCCTTCTCCCCATTGCCTCTGCTCTGGGACCTGCTCCAGCCCTCCTCCTCCTCCTCCTGGGATGTGTCCCCTTCTCCTGGGGCTTCCCCCCACAACAAGCCCCCTGCCAGTGCCTGGCCCTGCTGCATGTGCTGAGTGCATCTGTTCTCTGCTACATACCCCCTGTGCTGTCAGTTGAGCTCACCCTGAGCAACGAATAAGGGACAGTCCTCAAATGTCTTTGCTACCTTCTCAGTGTCCCCCTGCTCTCACTGTCCCTTTCCTTGCCCTGGCCCCTCCAGGCCTGTTCCTCCTTTCCCAGCTCTGTATTACCTCCCCCAGCCCACGTTCCCTCCCCGCAGACCACAGCTCCCCCCCGCTTCCCCTTTTGCACCCCTTTGCCCCCACCCCAGCCTTCATGCGGGCTCTGTGACCCCCGCACCTCCCAGCACCAGGGGATGAGGTGACCAGGTCCCAGCAGCTCTGTGGCACAGGGACCCATGGCATCCATGGTAGGTCCCACACTGATCCTGTGGGTTACCAGAGCATCTTTGCTGGCTGCAGGCTGTTTCCTTGGGAGAGCGGCC